AAATGTGACAGGCAGTGAAGGTCGTTTATTAACTGTTAAAAAAAGTGGGGAGAGTTTGGATGGTTAATGAAAAGCTGTTTCGATTAAACGCGAAATCATTTTAACCTCTGACCTTCCCGTCGGGGAGCGGGGGCGCTATTTATGCGAGGGGAGTTACAAATCGCCATTATCGGTGATGTGGGCGACCAACATTGGGGCATCTCTACTCGACGACACCAAAAGGATAGTCCGAACAAAGCCAGACCTGATCGGTTTAACTCTCTCTCTCTCTTAATTTCGGGGGCTTCGACACTGCACTGTACCTCCTCCACAGAGAGGCCTGGCATCCCATTCTCATACCAGTGACCCTAATCCGCACCCCGGCCCCCGCCTCCCACTGCTCCTCAACAATACACAATCTGCCCGCCTTTTTGGGGGGATGTACCCAGCCGCCGCTACAGCTCGATGCCACGAAAATCGTCAAAAGGAATGAAACCGTAGCCTTCACTGTCACACTGATGGGAAGAAGTACACTGCCACCGCGGTGGCAATATTTACCGTGGTAGGCAACATGTGCAGCCGATTGGCAGAAGTAGAGGGCATTCGGATTTGTCTTTAAGTGCCTTCACAGAGCGCGTAGGATGATGGAGAGAAGGCGGGAGAGCCAAAATCTCTCACGTGTTACATGAGTTCTCAAAAACGCCATTTAAACTCCACCTTATTCTGCTGTTTGATCACTTTTGCCTCAATTCGTACACAACGTAACCAGAATTTTGGTAAGTCGGTCTTCCACACCACGGATTCCCTCATTTCCCCTGTGTCTCATAAGGCGTAGCCTATAACACAGCGTTGCTTGGCTATTGCGTGGAGAAAAGGTGGAACTATACCGCGTGTGGCTGCAGCATGTCACCCGCAAAAAAAGTGGGCCAGCAAGCGTCACGACAGCAGCTTAGCAACTGATCACGCAAAGTTGGACAAATCCCAGCAACCAAATAAACAACCTGTTGAGTAGAAAAGCAACTGACTCCATCAACTTGCAATAAATAGTCTCCCATGGTTTTTTGGCCTACGTATGGATGGGACGCAGCTGCGGTGCAAGCCTCACGGCCCCGCCCCTATAGTAATATTTAAAGTACTTTCGAAATTGGAAGCTTTGCATCTTGAGGTGCTTCAAAAGGACTTGCATCTAAACGAGATTTCCATTAGGCCCTGAAAAATGCTTAAGGAGAGTGGAGGGAGGCTTTTTACTCTTATTTCCCACCTGTCAAATCCGCTTCCCATTTGGTTGGTAATCACCGCGAGAAGCAGTAGAGGAGTACGAAGGTTGAGGGGAGGCACAAACTGCCTCCGCTGGATGAGTTTTGACAGCAGAATAAGAAATTGACTTAAGCGTCTACGGAATTTTTTATTATATACCCACTAGTTGCATCATAGCAGGTAAATTAGTCCCTCTTAAGTGTTCTGCCTGGCAGAAAGAAACCCAGGGCTAACGAACTGATTCGTGTCGCCCGGAAATGCAGTGAATAATGCAGTGCTGAAGGGACTGGCGTGTGCCCCCTCGTAATTGCAGCTAGAAAGGCGATTAATCGAAAAAACTAGTCAATCCATCCACCACTCACGATTACGAAGCTTCACTTCGTCCCTTCTCCTCCAGTCATCTTTTGCCACCTCCTCGTCCTTCTCCTCATCGTCTATTCCTCCTAGTCCTAAATAGGCAAACCCCACAACCGGTGAACCCGGAGGCAGAGGTGGATAGAGGAGACCATCTCTCCACCCTCCCAACAAACCACTCCCAGCACTACCGCCATCACCCAAATCGCCGTCTTGAAATGTGAACGAGTAGAGTGGAGCGACAACAGTTGTAACAGCGCTGGAAGTGGGAGTGGCGGTGAAAACTGCCGACTCGAGGGAGAGGAGAAAGTGGTCGTTGTCGAGAGAGGAGGAGGAGTCCATTTCGTCCAATTCCTGTGGAGGTAAAGGGCAGATTTGGCCAAGGCTCACTAGGACGAGTAGCGACGCACGTCACTGGAGAGATGCAACATCAATTGGACAGCC